CTTTCTTTATGCTGTTAACTGTTGTTGAGTTTTTTTGCAGCTGAATTGTTAGGAATTCCAATGGTGAAACCGTATTTAGGAATAAAGAATGGTGTATTGGAAGATAATACAGCAAAGGATGGAGTGAATTTTGCTGTTATAGGAGCAACGGCGTTAGATGTTAGTTTCTTTGAAGAGATGGGTGTTTATAATCTTCCTACCAATTATTCATTAACGGTTCAGATGAATTGGTTCAAGGAACTTCTCCCTGCTATCTGCAATTCTTTCAAAAGTAAGTTCTCAATTATTCTCCCTCATCTATGCCCACCACATATAATAATCAATTAAATGGGACCATCAATTATTGTTTTTTGTCAAAAGAAAATGGACACTCTATTATTGAGCTTGTAATTACTACCTTACCTAATACTAGAATTGATTTGAAAATATGTTTTTTTGTTAATTTTTTATATTTATAAGTATAAAAAATTGTTTATTTATGTGAAAATATAAAATATAAAATATTGTCGCAGAGACAGATTGATGTGAGAATTTTGTGCTAAGTTAGATTTTATCAAATATAAGCATGCTAAAAAATTAAAGTTTAAAATATACTTGTAGTTTGTCGCATATTTATTTTTAAGTTTGAATTTGACTTTTTTATAGACTAATTTTGTGTTAAGTTAGATTTTATTTTTTATTAGTCAACTTAAAAGTTTATTTTATTTTAACATATAATTCAATTTATCTTTATATAGACTAAAAAACTAAAATATTAATTAATTTAAAAGTTTGCTTGAATTGACTTATCTAAGCTAATTTAGTAATATGGTTTTTGTTAGATTATTTATTTAAAAAAACTTATGAAAACTTAATTGTTTATAAGATATGTTCAACATATTTTCATATGTTCAGTTTGGCTCATAGGCAATGTCAAGTGGGCAAAAGTCGGGATCACTGAGCGGTCACGAGCCTTGCTCTTGCGTTTGGCCTAAGTATTTGTTAGGGGCGGCTAGGGTGTGTGGGGGGTGCAGGGGGCGAAACCCCCCTTGGTACGGTTTAAGAGTATTATTGTAATTTGGATCATTAGTATTCCTATATATGCTTGTAACACTAAAATCCTAAATGTGTGTAATTCAAAACAAATCAATAAGACAAAACTATAGGTTCTCTGTAGTCGCAGACGTAGGCAATTTGATTGAACTGTGTGAACAAAGCTTTTGTGTGTTTCTCTCTTGTATTTGTGTAACTGTTCAAACAATTGGTATCAGATGACGCTTAATCCTAGAGGTGCGAAATTCAAAATGACTTGATTTGATGGAATGGGAAATTTCGGTTGGCAAAGGAGGGTTAAGGATCTGTTGGCTCAGCAAGGTTTACAGAAGGCGCTTCGTGATGAGAAATTGGCAGACATCGCAACCATTGATTGGAATGAGGTGAAGGAGAATATTGTAGGTTTGATAAGAGTTTGCATTTCTGATGATGTAATGAATCATATCCTAGAGCTCAAAACTCCAAAGGATATCTAGGATAAATTGGAAACTCAATACATGTTCAAGACGCTCATGAACAAATTGTTCGCATAGTAGCTTCTCTATAGCCTAAAGATGCAGGAAGAAGGCAATATGCAGGCCCATGTCAACGCTTCAAAAAAATCCCTGCTAATTTGAAACGGATTATTGTGAAGGTTAAAGATGAGGATAAAGCCATTATTTTGTTGTGCTCTTTACTAATCTCTTATGATCACTTGGTGACCACTCTCACATATGGGAAGGAAACAGTCAATATGGATTCTATTTCTTCTACCATTTTGCAACACGCACAACGTCGCCAAAGTGTAGAGGAAGGTGGAGGAAGTTTAGGTGAAGGTTTGTTTATGAAGGGAGGTCAAGACTGTGGCAAAGGAAAGGGTAAGGCAATGGGTTCTTGAAAGAAAAAGAGGCTCAAGTCTAAGGACAGAAAAATAGATGAATGTTATGGTTACAAGCAAATTGGCCATTAAAGGGGGGATTGTCCTAACAAGTCAGGAAACAATAGTTCAACTAATGTAGTTTAAATTGATGGTTCATACAGCGAAGAGGATTTTCTTTGCGTTTCATCAGCAAAGTGCACTATTGCCTAGATCATTTATTTTTCTTTCTCCTACCATATGACGCTGCACAGGGAGTGGTTCAACTCTTTTAAATCGGTTAATTTTAGTTTTGTCTATTTAGGTAATGATAAAACTTGTACCATCACCGAAAATGGGCAAATTAAAATTTCTTTGGATGATAGTCGCATGCGCATGTTGAGTGAGGTGTGTTGTATATGTTCCAAAATTGAAGAAGAATTTGATATCTCTGGGTACTCTTCAAGAGAATGATTATTCGTTCCAGTCATATAGAGATAAGGACATCATGTGGGTTAGCAAAGGCGCAATGATAGAAATAAGGGCAAAGAGGAATGCATGCAACATTTATAAGTTGTAGGGGAGAATAATTAAGGGTGATGTAGCATTTGTTAAACTGACAATGATGCAACCAAGCTGTGGCACATGCACTTGAGTCATCTCAGTGAACGGGAGATGATGGAACTACATAAGAGGAGTTTGTTGAAGGGTGTTCACAATTATTGTGTTCTTGGTAAACAATGTAAAGTTTGTTTCAAGACCGAGCAACACAAGATCAAGGGAATCTTAGACTATGTTTATTTTGATGTCTGAGACCTATAAAAAAGCCCTATGTTGGAGGTTTTAGGTACTTTTTGACATTTATTAACGATTTTCTCATAAGGATTGGGTTTATTTTATGAAATATAAATCTGAGGTCTTCGGAAAGTTTAAACTATAGAAGGCAGAGGTTGAGAACCAGGCATGGAGAAAAATAAATTATTTGCGGTCTGATAATAGAATTGAATGTACAGACAATAAGTTCATGCATTTCTATGAGGAGAAAGGAACTCAGAGACACTTTTCTGTGTGGAATATGCCACAGCATAATGGTTTTGTAGAGAGGATGAACATGACTCTGATGGAGAAGGCAAGATGCCTCTGGTTGAATGTTGGTCTTTCAAAAGGTTTTTGGGCAGTAACACTCAATATGGCATGATATATAGTCAACAGATCACCACGGGCTTCATTGGATGGCAAAGTTGCATAGGAGGTTTGGACAGGTAACTCTATTTATCTGAGTAATTTGAGGATTTATGGGTGTCCATTGTATGCGCATATTTCAAGTGAGGATCAGTTAAAACTTGACCCTATGTTAAAACAGTGCATATTTATTGGAATACAAGAAATATGTGAAGGGGTACAAGTTATGGAGTCTTGTTAAGAGGAAGGTAATTATCAACATAGATGTTGTATTTATTGATATGTTGATGTTTTAACAGTTAGATGTGGAAGTTATCCATATACTGAGGTAGAAAATTCCATCCAGGATAAGATTCAGGTGGTCATTGAGGATCCACCAATGAGTCTAAGAAGATTGTATCCTAACAACAGGATGAACCAGTCTCATATTTAGGTGGAGTGCAAGATTCAAATGGAGTACAAGACTATACATTTGGGTTTGAAGACTTAGCAACATATGATCTTCTTACCAGTTCAGGAGACCTTCTACTTTTCGAGAGGCTATGGCTAGCCGGAGAAAGATAAGTGGATGGGTATTATGGTGAAGGAGATAGAGTCCTTGAAAAAGAATGAGACATGGAATCTTGTTCAACTTCCACAAGGAAAGAGAGTTATTGGTTGCAATTGGGCGCATAATAAAAAACCAATAGTAATAGAAAACGAGGGGGAAATTCAAGGCTCGCCTAGTTGTAAATTGGTATTCACATGAGAAATGGATTGATTATGATGAGATTTTTATCCTGATGGTTAGACACACTTCTATCAGGGCTTTATGTGCCTTGGTAGTCAACATGGATATGCATTTAGAGTAGATGTATGTGTAAACAACTTTCTTCCGTGGTAATCTAGAGGAGAAAAATCTACATGGAGCAATCAGAGGATTTCAGTAATATTGGACATGACAGACTTGTTTGCAAATTAAATACGCCTTTGTACGGCTTGAAGAAGTCTCCAAGAAATTGGTACAAGTGCATTGATTCATACATGCTCTAGATTTCCTATAGAAAGTGTGGTTATGATTGTTGAGATTATGTGAGGAGCCTTGATGTTGTTTCTTTTATTTTTCAGTTACTTTATGTTTATGATATGTTGATTGATGTTAACCATTTGCATTGTGTAAATGAGTTAAAGACCAAGCTGGGTAAGGAGTTTGTTATGAAGGATTTGGGTGCTGTAAAGAAGATTTTTAAGATAGAAATTCACAGGGACATATGAGCTAATAAATTGTGGTTGTCTTAGAAAAATTATGTTGAATGCGTTTTGAGCCAATTTGACATGAGCAAAGTAAAACCTGTGAGTAGTCGATTGGAGAATCATTTTAAGCTTTCTTTAGCACAATGTGTGAAGACACACTCTGAGATTGAAGGTCTGTCTAACATTCCTTATGCCAATGCAATTGGTTATTTGGTGTATGATATAATTTGTACTAGATTGTATTTGGCACAAGAAGTTAGTCCAGCGTACAAGTTCATATCCAAGCCAGGGAAGCAACATTAGGAAGTAGTCAAATGGATCCTAAGATACTTGAAGGGTGCAAGGATCGTGGTATCATGTTCAACATGGAGCAGGGTATTCCATCAGTTGTGGAATATGTGAATCCCGACTATACATGTGATCTAGGAGATAAAAGGTCTACAACAGGATATGTCTTTACTCTTTCCAGGAGACCTATATGCTGAAAATCATCAATTCAATCCTTAGTAGCTATGTCTACAATTGATGGAGAGTACATGGCAGTAGTTGAAACTGCCAAGGAAGCATTGGGGCTTACAGGGTCAGTAAAAGAGTAGGGTGTTGAGTAAGACGGAGTTCAGTTACATTGTAATACTCAAATTGTTATCTACTGAGTAAAGTGGAGTTCATCATACTGTATTTATTTCAGAAGTGGTGGAAATACCTCTTCCGTATAGCTTCACCTTATGATCAAGTAGGAGCATGTTTTTCGCTTCACTAGATTGGCATCAAGAGAACCTTCCCGTAGAGTTCTATTCACAATATATACCATGATTAAAGTGATCCAAGGCGGCTTTGTTGTTCCCGTTGTCACAGCTGTCACAATGACTATTGTGGAGATATCAGGTTTCTCAAGTGTCTCTTGGATTAAAGAATGGTTGATGTCTTCCACACTTGTGCTTGAAAACTTTGATAGGGTATTTGTGCTCGTGTTCTGCTCCTTTGGCATGTTCACAATCTCATATGATTTAAACAAACTCAATATGTCGTTGACCATGACTATGTATTTCTATAGAAGTGGATTGTTAGTGTCTGCCTACCATTTGACTTCGTTGACCACATGTTGAGAATTTTAAATAGCCTAACTTTTTATGCTCACACTTCTGAGGCCAATATGAACCTAATGACTAAAGCTTCTGCCTAATTGTTAGTGGTGGAAAAATCAAAGCACATGGAGACCCAACTATGATCTCTTCGTTGCTCTCAAGAATGAGGTCGACTCCACTTCCTTTACTATTTGATGACTTCTCAGTGAAGACAATCCACTTTGTACACGACTCTGAGGTGGATGGTGTCAACAACGATGAAATCTACAAAGACTTAGGCTTTGAGGGCCTTTATAGGTTCAAATGATATATCAAACTCTGATATCTAAATGGACACTTAGACATTTGCCCTTCCAAATCTGATATGAAAAGAGCATGCTTTAATGGTTGATATGTGTGATCTATTGTGGAATATGGCAAGAATTAACATCACAATTTTTTGGAAGCCACTCCTAGGACAAGAGCAATATTTTCAATGATTTTTCAGTGTTCTAATGAGTTTCCTAGATTTCAATGAGATTTAGTTGGGTGGTGATGAAAGTTTGAAATTATTTTTTGAGTTTTGATGAAGATCTATCACGTGGAAATGCCTCGTCACATTAAATTTGTTAGTATATAACACTATGTCAGCTTTATTAATGGAGAATAACAACAAAGACTAAAATTAGAGATATAATATTTCAAAAGTACCATTACTCAAAGAAAATATTTATACGAAAAAAAGTTATTATATTTAGAAAACCGCAACATACTACCCTATCTTTTATATGGAAAACAATTGTGCATGCGCTCAAAAATATGAATCCGCATAATGATGTAAATGGAATTAATGAAATTACTTAATTGAGGTCTAATCTGACAGGTTGCCATGAAGTTCTTGGAAAGTCATTATTTCTTGTGGGAGAGATTGGTGGCAACGATTTCATTTATATGTTAAATAGTCAGAAAAGCATAGAAGAGCTCAAAACATACGTGCCAAATGTAATCAATGCAATAACTTCATCTATCAATGTAAGATTATTGTCTTTTACAAATCCTATTATATACACATCTCTCACTAAATCTAAGTTGAATTTCAGTTTTTTGAGCATACATACCAAAGCTTTTATTTTGTGTTTTGTGTTTTCACAGGAGTTGATTGATCTAGGGGCACACACACTCATGGTCCCTGGGAATTTCCCAATGGGATGCAATGCATGCTTTTTAACACATTATGAAACTACAATTAAGAACCAATATGACTCATTCGGTTGCTTGAAGTGGCTAAACGAATTTGCTGAATTTTATAACCTGAATCTTCAAAATGAAATACAAAGGCTCCGTGGAATTTATCCTCATGCTAATATCATCTATGCTGATTATTATAATGCTTTATTGCCATTATATCAATATCCATCAAAATTTGGTATATCAACACTCTCTTTTCCAAAAGTAAATTAATCTCTTTGTTCATGATCTTTGTTACTAAAGTATATCAATGCAGGTTTTCTAGGTCTTAAAGCATGTTGTGGAATGGGAGGTTCATATAATTTTAATGAATCAAAAGTTTGTGGAAAACCAGATGTGGTTGCATGTGATGATCCTTCTCAGTATATTGGATGGGATGGTATTCATTTGACTGAGGCTGCATATAGATTAATTGCTCATGGTATCATTAATGGACCAAATTCAGTCCCTCAATTTAGTAAGTTGTGCTCCGTGAATTTAGCTACGGATATTTAAATTTACTTTTTATATTTATTGAATAACTAAGGTAACAGATCTATTTTGGTGGTTCCTTTGTTCTTTTTCATGCAAAAGAATATTGTATCGGTGTTAGGTTAGGGAGAAACAAGTTTCTTTGTGGTACTTTTCTGCTGCATTATGCTACTGTTTTCAGTTTCCATGAGGTTGATTGTGTTCAATGTAGTTTCTTTATCAACTTATTTTCTTTACTTTTGGGTCATATTTTGTGTAAACTATAGGGATTTTGGGTGGAAGCGGATCGTTGTACTACCACTAGTATATCTAGTTGTGTTTGATGTACATAATAATTTTGGACTTTTTTAGTATATTTGGTTTGGTGCCGATTTCAAAAAACACTCCTATTTTAATTTTTATTCTTTTGGATTTCATACTCTTCTCCTTATGTTGACACATATTATCATTCCAGGTATTCTTTGTTTTGCGTCCCACTAAATCTACTTTATTGTGTTTAAGGGACAAGTTAAATGACTAACCAAAAATAAGAAGAGGTATAAAAATTCCACTAATAGCCAATGTAATATTCTAAATGAAACTTATTCTGGACGGACTAAGAAGTCCAATAAAATAGGTCTAATATGAAGTCCTAATTCAAAATTACATTTGTTTAGCCCGACAAATAGATATACCCTCACTAAGAAGTCAGGCACAGAAGACAGACACCATATTCATCTTAATCGTTGGAATCTATTCAGCGGTGTAATGCCCTAAATCTTCTCTAAATGTTAGTCTTTATTTTATTAATGAATTATTAATATGAAAATATTTGATTAGTTTGATAATGAGAAAATGCAATCCCTAATCAAGTTATAATCATAGTTAATGAAGGGAATGACAACCATTAGAGATAAGTGGCAAGGACATTCATGGCATTTCCTTTAACCTCTTTATAAGGAAAAAATAATGAAGAAATCTCTCATTCTTCATATTTCATTTCTCATTCTAGAAAGAAAAAAATTGGAAAAGGAAATTAGAGAGAAAGAAGAGTGGAGAAAGAGCGGGGGATTTTGAGGAGAGGAAAGAAGACGAAGTTATTGGTTCAACATCATCTTATCCTTGCATGTGTAATTCTTAAAGACTTTCTTTTTATGAGGCTTCAATCACAAGTTGGATTACCACCACCATTTTCCCCTTCCAACTTACAGTCATCATCACCATCATCTTCATTCTTTAAGAAAATTCAAGTTTTTGTGTAAAAAGTGGGGTTCCTTGCTAGATTCTTAGCCCATTGCATGTTTGGTTTCAAGTGGAGTAAATAAAATTGCTTAGGATATGTGAAAATTGCTTGTGTTGGTAATTGCATGTTGAATATGATATGATCTTATATTGAATGAGCTTGTATTTGCTAGTTATGTTGTGTTTTGACCTTCTTAACATGTTAGTATATGTTAGGGTTTGGTTGATTGTGAATTGGTGTGCTAAAATCCTTGATTGAGCATGGATTTTTGAGAATTGTTTTTACTGCAATCGGTTACAGTTTCAGTGTAATCAGTTACATGTGTAAATTTTAGGATTTAACCATGAAATTTTGGAAAAATCATAGCATGTAATCGATTACACTAAAAGTGTAATGGATTACCACCCTGAATTTCTGAGTTTTTCTGAACCCGAGAGTTGGTGTAATTGATTACACTAAAAGTGTAATCGATAACACCCTGGAATTTTGAATATTATTTAGATAGAAAGTTGGTGTAGTCTATTACATCCTTAGTGTAATCGATTACACTCCTTGTAACTTTGAAATTTTAATGGTTGCTTGTGTGTTATGTGACTTGAAGTGGTGAAACTTGTATAGTAGTGTAGTACCATGATAGTATGATAATTTCATGATTAATTGTGATTGCGTTAGTATGTGCATGAATGAGACCTTAGATGTTTAATCAATAAAACCATAAAACCCTAAGTGGTGTATATGTGAACCCTAGTTGGTTAATATTTGAATATGTGAACCCTAGTTGGTTGGTTAAAGAATGTGAGGCGACCTTAGGTTTAAAATGGAATTAACCTAGAGATGTGATATTCAGACACGAAAGATACCCTTGTAGGTATGTGTTGTGAATATTCTGTTTGAGTGAAACCGAATTAGACTTGTGTGAGGAAGGAATATCAAGGCTTTAGGGATGCCTTGAGATTTCTACCATAATCGGGAGTGAATGGTTTTAGATTTTGTGACATGTGCTCTGGCTTATATGAAGTTGTAACTGTGGAAGGACGTTGTTTAACTAATGGGCCTCTGTGACCAAACTCTGACTTATGAGAAGTCGTGACCGGGGAAAAAGTTCCTGGTTGGGGGAAAGCATGTGACTCGAACTCATAACCATGTGAGATGTTAAGAACGGGGAATGACATCCTTCATTTCATGATATATATGATTGTGACCCGAACTCAGACCCATGTGAGAGGTTGTGACCGGGGAAAGACATATCATGCAAGTATGTGGGATCTACTGCGGTAGATAATGGCTTATGTGAACCCGAGTTGAGATATTCACACATTGTGTGAGATTGATGCGATCTTGGACTCAAAACTTTGTTGACCTAAAAAGTAAAGAAAGAAATCTTATGGAATGAGTAGGGTATGAACCCCTTTAGAGTTGAGTGGACCCTTAAGATAGGGAACCCCATTCGAAGAAAGATAAAGGTAAGGAGAAGATGACCTGAAGACCCGATGTTGCTAATGTTTCTTTGTATTATTTTGTATTGTATTACTTTGTAGTATTTTATTTAGACATATTTTGATATTTATGTACTGATTTTCATGTAAAAAATATTTTTACATGTATAAATGTGTCAACTAGACACTTGTAGGTGTCCTTAGTACCAAATTAACACTGCATGTAATACGATTCTAGACAGTATTATATTGGGGGTGTTATAGTTGGTATCAGAGTAGGTTGATTTTTGACCCAGTCATAAGACATCATAATTAATTCCTTTCTACCTCATGTGTGTGTTTTCCTTTGTAATCCTTATTGTTAAATTGTGTAGTGTTAGGCATAATCAACTTGACTTCTTTATGTGTGACATATATGATTATGGAAAAGCATTGCAGAGGTCATGGGAGTCCCAGGGGCACTAGAGCCCATAATATAGACATGGAGAAAGGAATTGGGAATAGAAAAAACCAGTGGCTCTATTCCATGCAGCAAATGCAGTAACAACAACAATGTTTTATGGTGAAAATGATGCAGAAGATGTAAGGTCATTCA